ATTTGGGGGGTCTGATTTTTTTTTTTTAGTTCTTTATATATTCTAGATAATAGACCTTTGTCTGAGGAACAACTGGTAAAATTTTTTTCCCACATTGTAGGTTGTCTCTTAGCTCTGTTGGTGGTTTCTCTTGCAGTGAGAAGCTTTTTAATAAGATTAGATCCCAGTTGTTGATTCTTTGTGCTAGTTCCCGTGCTACTGAGGATTTGTTCATAAAGTCCTTTCCTATTCCAGTGTCTTCAAGAGTTCTAACTAACTTATCTTCCAGGAAGTTTAGTGTTGCTGTTTTAATATTTAGATCTTTAATCCACTTCGATTTTAGTTTAGTACATGGTGAAAGACAGGGGTCTAGTTTTAATCTTTAACAGGTTGAAATACAGTTTTTCCAACACCATTTATTAAAGAGGCTATCTTTCCTCCAATGAGGGTGATTGGCTCCTTTGTCAAAGATGAGGTAGCTGAGTGTGTCTGGAGTTGTTTCTGCATCTTTCAATCTATTCCACTGGTCCTCAGGTCTGTTTCTTTGCCAGTACCATGCTGTTTTTATCACAGTGGCTTTGTAGTATAGTTTCAAGTTGGGAATTGTGATACCCCCTGCATGACTCTGTTGCCTAGAATTGCTTTTTATTCTAGGTCTCTTCTGGTTCCAGATGAACTTTTGGATTATTTACTCTAGTTCTGTGAAATATGCTGTTGGGATTTCAATTGGGATTGCAGTGAATCTGTAGGATTATAATACTTTTAAATGCACATCTTTTTATTATATGTACTATGCATATTCCTGCTTGCTTAGACACAAGGCCTGAATATTTATCATGTCATTGACTTAGGATGACTGTAAAGAGTCACTGTTGTACACCATACTGTGTAACCATTTCCTTTATTTTTTTGTTTTCTAGGAAGAGAGCTGTCAACATTTTTATCATGGTAAAAAATAAAAAGCACCTAGCGTAAAACTTACTACCTTAACCATTTTAAGTGTCCATTAGCGTTAACTACGAACAATTGTTGTGCTTCAGATCTCTAGAACCTTTTCATTTTGCAAAACTGAACAACTCATTTCCTTTTCTTCCAACCCCTGGTAATTATCATCCTACTTATTTTTTTTTTCTATTTGGCTACTTTAGATACCTCATACAAGTAGAATCATGCAGTACTTATCTTTTGGCAACTGGGTTATTTCACTTAGTGTAATATCTTCAAGCTACATCTATGTTGTAACGTATGAGAGAATTTCCTTCTTTTAGTATATGTGCTGCCTACAATTTCTTTATCAATTCAGCATCAGTAGATATTTAAGTGCTTCCACATCTTGGCTATTGGAAATGCTGTAATGAACATGAGTATGCAAATATCTCTTTGAGATCCTGTTTTCAGTTCTTTAGGATATACACCCAGAAATGCAATTTCTGGATCATATGGCAACTGCGTTTTTAATTTTCTGAGGAACTTCCATACTGTTTTCTATAGTAGCTATACAGTCTTACATTCTTACCAGTCATGTACAAGGATTCCCATTTCTCTACATCCTCACTCAAAACTTGTTAATTTTTGGTTTTCTAATAGTGGTCATTCTAACAGAAGATGATATCTCATTGTGGTTTTGATTTGCATTTTCCTGATGATTAATAATGTTTTCATACACCTGTTGACCATTTCTATGTATTCTTTGAGAACTTTCTACTGAGGTATCATTTTAAAAGTTGGGTTATTCTGTTTGCTGCTGAGTTGCTCTATATACACTGGATGTTAACTACCTAGCATATATGGTGTGTAAATATTTTCTCCTAGTCCCCAGGTTGTCGCTATAGTCTGTTGTTTCCTTTGCTATGGAAAAGCTTTTAAATTTGATGTAGTCCCATTTCTCTACTTTTGCTTCTGTTGCATGTGTTTTTGGTGGATTTATTAATTCAAGCCAAACCCAAAGTTGTGCAGTTTTCTCCCTATGTTTTCTACTAGGAATTTTGCCGTCTTAAGTCTCATATACTTACTGAATTTTGAGTTAACTTTTGTATGTGGTGCAATCTAAGAGCCCAGTTTCATTTCTTTAGATATACAAATCCTGTTTTTCCAAAACCATTTGTTGAGGAGACTATCCTATTCTCGATTGTGTAGCCATGGCACACTGTTGGAGATCATTTGACTATATATATGAAGATTTATTTCTGGGCTCTATTTTTATTCTGGTAGCCTATATGAACATCTTTATGACAGTACCCAGCTGTTTTGATCAGTTTATCTTGGTAATATGGTTTGTTTTCCCAGTACCAGGGATCGAACTCAGGACCTTGTGCTTGTGAGGCAGGTGGCGGAACCACTGAGCTAAATCCATGGCCCAGTAATACATTTCAAAATAAAAAAGTATAAGGTTTCCAGCTTTGTTTTTCTTTCTCAATATTGTTTTGGCTATTCTTTGAAGTTCCATATGAATGTTTGATGGCTTTTCTATTCTGACAAAAAAAGCCATTTGGGATACTGATAGGATTGCATTGGATCTGTAGATTACTTTGGGTAGTATGAACATTTTAACACTCTTAAGTCTTCCAATCCATGAACACAAGAAATCTTTCCAGTTATGCCTTCTCAATATCCTTCATCAATGTTTTGTAGTTTTCAGTGTACAAGTATTTCATACTCTTGGTTAAGTTTATTACTAAGTATGTTATTCTATTTGATGATGCTACTGTAAATTGGATTATTTTCTTCTCTCTGTATGTGTCTGTGTTCTCTCTCCTGGGGTCTGAACCTCAAGCATGCTAAGCATATATCTACCACTTGAACTAGTTGAGACTATTTTCTTAACTTTCTCTTCAGATTATTTATTATTAGAGTACAGAAATGCAACTGATTTTTGAGTGCTGCTTACATATCCTACAACTTTTATGAATGTGTTTATTGTTTTTAACAATTTTTGTGGGGTTTTTGGGATTTCTCCAGATAAAATCATTCCATTGTGAACAGAGATCATTTTAATTTTACTTCCCAATTTGATGGCTTTTACTTATTATTCTTGCCTAATTGCTCTGGCTATGGCTTCCAGTACCTTGCTGAATGAAAGTGGTGAAGTGGGAATCCTTGCCTTATTTTTGACCTTAGATGAAAAGCTTTCAGATTTTCATCACTGAATGTGACGTTGGGTTGGTCTTTTCATATATGACCTTTATTATGTTAAGGTAATTTTTCTCTACTCCAAGTTTGTGGAGTGTTTTTATAATGAAAGGGTGTTGATTTTTGTTAACTGCCTTTTCTACATCAATTGAAATAATAATGTGGTTTTTGTCCTTTTTTTTTTATTTTTTAATTTTTTTTGGTACCAGGGATCGAACTCAGGTCCTTGCACTTGCGTAGCAGGCGTTGAAACCACTGAGCTAAATCCCTGGCCCTGTCCTTTGTTAATGTGGTATATTGATTGATTTCTTATGTTGAATCACGTTTGCATCTGAGGAATAAATTCTACTTGGTCATGGTGCATAATCCTTTTAATGAAGTGTTGAATTCAGTTTGCTAATATTTTGTAGACAACTTTAGCATCAATATTCATCAGGAATATTGGTCTATAATTTTCTTGTATCTTTGTCTGGCTTTGGTATCAGGTAATGCTGCTCTCATGAAATGAATTTAATAAAGATTGATGTCAATTTTTCTTTAAATGTTTGATAGAATCTTCAAGTGAAGACACTTGGTCCCAAGATTTCCTTTGTTAGGAGGTTTTTTGTATACTGATTCAATCTCCTTACTAGTTATGGAGCTGTTGAATTTTTTATTTTTTCAAAATTCAATCTTGGTTTATAGTAAGTTTCTAGGAATTTTTTTCCATTTC